CAAGGCGCGCATGGGGAGCGGGCCGGGGGGGAGAAAGGAGGAGCAGGAGTGCCAGGAAATTGAAGGGGCGATAGGGAGGACTTTATAGAACCACGCACGGCGACGCACAGGGCCCTATGACGCTAGACCGAAAAGGCTAGCCTAGGCCTAATAACTAATTTGCGGAAGGAATTTCGACCGTCCGATATGGTGTAATCCAGGGGAACAGCGGAAAGACCACGGTAGTTCGTGGTGTTGTGGGAGACAATCGTGGTGATTCCGTATAGGCGGTTTTATAGATCTAATGAGGACTAGTGCCATATGTCCAACTGGGTTTAGCGCATGATTGTCCCGAATCTTGCTGCATGTCTATTATACGCCCGGCGGCTTCAATGTGGTTAGAGTCGAGATCACCTAGGCAGTAACTACTTCAAGTTGCAACTTATAAGTTGAGCAGAATAGCCCTAACTGTCAATGGACGGATCTTCCCCTTGCTTATGTAATCATCCTGCCCACCTGGGCAACTTTGGGACCTTCCTTGGAACCTTGGAAGTCCGTTGCTCCCCTCATGTACTGGACGCATTCGCCACAACAATCTCCTCTCCACCAAAATTGATCCGGAAAATCGTGTTATCAGCGTTGCCAGCAACCCAGACATCACCTGTCTCATAATCATAGGCCAGGTCATCGGCATAGAACCCATAAGCCAATGTGATATATTTTCCCTTCGCGCGTCCGGAAACAAGATCAATAGCAACCCGATTCACGGTTGTTGTTTTGCTGTTGTCATAATAAAGGAAAGTTTCGGTCGTAGTAGTGACTGTGCGGATCCCGTTGAGTCCAATCGCCCCGGTGGCTTTCATTGATTCATACTCAAGAACAACTTCGTAATCGCCTGTCTTGACATCGAGACGGTACACACGGCCTGCCAAGCTGTCGGCAATAAAAATGGCACCCGTTTTGTTCAATATTGTCATGCTATTGAGAAACTGGCCTTCTACCAAGTCGACGATTTTCTTGATTGTAGGATGTTAGTTTTTATCGAAAATTTGGACACTCCAAACCGACCAGGTACCGGAGACTAGCTTTGTCATAGAGAAGTTGCCGACAATTACAGCGAATTTGTTTAGGGCGTATTCTGTAATTCCCATCAGCCCGGTTGCGTTGGGAAAATGATAGATCAGGCTGGCGTAGGCACTTGAATAAGGCCTGGCTGGGAGGGTGATTTGATATAGTGAAGGTGTGTCTGCGCGAGTGACTAAAATGCTCTCATAGCCAATGGCGAGATTCTTGAGGTATGCGCCACTAGGGAATTGGTAGACTGCGGTTACAACTGGCTGTATAGCGCTTGTTGGCATACAAGAAACCAATATGGCCACGAAGAGGAAAGTTGGGACGAGCACAGAGGATATTAAAGATAGCATGTTTGTATGGGAGAAAAGATTTGATTTTGAGAAGCTTCAGGACAAACCAAGCTTTTTAAGACATTCTTGTTCAGACTCCATTGCCTCATACTCATCGTCAAATCGCAGGAGTGGGGGGCCAAACGGCTGAATCGGGTCCCCGACAAATGATTTCGTTGACAGTATACTACAGATGAGTACACTACAGATGAGATTCCAAAAATAAAATAAAATCAAATTGAGATCTAAATAAGGACTAAATGAATAAGCGGGCAAATCGATCTGAATTATGTTTGATTTTCCAGGATTTGATCAAGTATATTAATTTTCTGTCCAGTTAACGAGCACTCAAGGCGCAGTAATATAAGCATATTTTCTAGGCATTCGGTCGACAACTGTAAATACCAGTACACGTACACTAATGAAAAGGCTCTTCAAGTCCTTTATGTGGTTTAAATATTCAATCCTTCCAAGGTTAAATATGGCTGACAACCTAACCACCGGACGAGGCTTCCACGGCCTATCCGCTCCTAACCCGATAAACTACGCAATATAAGCTATGAAAACAACTCAACAAACTAATAGGCAGAACCGACGGCAGAATGCTTTAGAACTTCTAAATCATATCGGTGCCTTTTACATGAACGTGAATCTCAACCGGCGACTCGATAAGACGGCCGGCCGCATCATGCGTCGCATCCCACTCTCCAACCTCGGCGTTAGGGACTTTTTTCAGTCGGTTACTCTGAACTCCGCCGTCTAGGTACAGTAGTTCCTGTCGCAGCTCATAGCTCCTCCATTTGGGAATAAGGATGGCCCAAGCATAGTAATAGATGCCGCAGGTAAGAAGACTTCGTAATTTCCGTTAGTAAAACTAGAGTAGTAGCATAGTAGTCTAGAAGCGAGTGATAGTGCTCCCGTAAAACCGCCTCGGAGTTTTTGGAAGAAGTTTTAGAAAATTTTAGTTATGTGGTCAGGAGAAATTGGGTCTCACTAGGAGTGATCGTTATTGGATTAGTTGTATTGAAGAAAACTAAAGACGCGTCTAGTAGCGTAGTGGATATTCCTCGTAGGTAGCCTGTTCTTCGCCCAACCGCCTATCCACATTTGTAATATTCTTTTGAACGCTCTGGGCACTTGTTTTAGAATCTGGGAACGCTGCCCGAGTCTGCTGAACGTTGCCAGCGCGGGAACCGAGGACACCTAGTGTTGTTGCGGCCAACATAGAAGAAATATCAGTGCTACCATCCTTTGCTAGTACACAGTGCTCTCCTAGATCACGGAGTGCCTTGTCGATCTGCTCCGCTGCGCCAGATGCATGAAAGATACGCGCGATAATTGCATGAACCTTGAGAAGCTCGGGGCGCGGAAGATCGTATCTTTGGTCATACCAATTGAATGCAACGGTTCGAGGGAGGTGTAGTCGTAGTCGTGGGCGGTAGTTTTGAATGCGGTATTTGTGGGGCTGGGAGGTCTCTTCGAACGAAAAATCAAACCGGCCAAAGGACCGATGCAGCTCAGTCGACATGGTCATCGCATTGGTAGTATCGTTGATGTTCTCCCGGTTGAAGTTTATCGCCTGGATAGTTGGAAAATGGCGGATAAGGTTCGTCCAGATGATGTCTTTTGCATAGCCTTCAGACTCCGTGCTCCACGATGCAAGGGAAAACGGGATGATGTGCACGCATTCTGTGTATGTTGAGGGGCTGGTGTTGCTTGCATCAAGAGAATCTTCATCGAAAAGTCCAGTCACAACACATCTGCTGCCATCACGGGCAAGGCACTCTGTCTTGAGGCGAGCTTCTCTTCGCATAGGCCCGGCCGATTCGGAAGCGATATTGTCAATGGAGTCCTCCATTCCGAGACGCGGGGAAATACTTGGGGTCGAGCGCAGCGATCTTAATGGTGCCACTAGGCCGTCGATCAATGACTGAGCATGATCATGCAGTTGTTGGTTAGTCTGAAGTGACTGGAGATGGTGGAGGAAATTGACCCTCCCATTTTCCGGAAGGTAGGCGTAGAAGGCTCGTAATATCGGAACTGTCTTATCCTTGGGGCCGACGGGCTGGTATGCATCAACTTTCTCCATATTGGTAGCGAATCATTCGACAGCAGATATTGTCAGAGAGAAAGATGCGCTTGAAGAGGGAGGCGCGATCGTTCGGAGCTTAAAGAGTGGATCTTCTTATCTTGGTTTAGCTCCCGCTCCAGCTTCCCGCCATATACGGCAGACGATTTGGGCCAACTTTGACATTGCTTATTAATACATATATAAGATTCACCGCTAGAGTTTCCGCCTTTTGTACAACATAATACATTCCGCCTAATCTAAACCCACATTTCTGTCGGCCTATAGGTAGTTTACAGCCCCGCTGTATAGGCATAAGCATCCCGGAATAGTTTAGGGCGAGCAATAGGCTGTCTTATCTCGGGCGCTATCGTGGAGCTAAGGAAGGTAGGCAGTATAGATAGCAGTGGTGGGCTTGCAGAAGAGCTGACGACTCACACAGGGAAAGGGGTGGCGGAGCTTAGGAGCTCGGTGATCCGGATCAATGACAAAAATGGCTCACCTACAGAGCACGGACAAAGACGAGGAAAAGGAAAAGCGGGCGGGCAAAACACAGCGAGAAGTTGAGGGGGCGATAGGAGGGATTATATAGAACCACGCACGGGTACGCACAAGGACAAAGAGCGCTAAACCGATAAGTAGTCAAATTGACTACAAAGCGCAATCCGCTGTCCCCTTCCGATATGGTGTAAGTCGAGATCACAACGGAAAGGCCACGATTGTGCGTGGATTTGCGGGGTAGAATCGTGGCGTTTCCGTATAGTGCAACTATCAGCCTAGGGCTTAGGGACATGGATTTATGAAAAATGCATGGTCGGGTCAAATAGAATCACCACAGATCGCGCAGAGAAATTGAAATATAACATAGAGCGGCTCGTCTGCTCCGCCATTGTCCAAGAATATCATGTGATGATCTAGGAGGGACTTGAGTACATGATCCATTATGATCTAGCAAAGGCCGGTCAGGGAAGCCCTTACGGCACTAGTAAACTGCGACCCCGGTCAGAAAAGCCAGCGGTAATTGGGGGGGAGGGTGCGGATAGTGGGTCTCTCCCTCTATAAACTAGCCTTTATAAATTCGCCGTTCACAAATCCGTAGTCTCGTTCACGCATATCACCTGAAACAGTCCAATAGGACCGTCCTTACTATCACGCTTTTACGTACTACTCTTCGTCAACATTATATTCGCACCCGCGTTCATTATGGTAGAGCAACTCTAGGAATAATCACAGTCTTATAACTAGCATAGCTATAGGTGTAAGGGTGACGGCTGAAAGCGACATGTGTTCAGGATAAAAATGAAGCGGTAAAACATGCTAACATAAAGTCTAGAGCCCGCTATAGAGAGATCGAAAAGCTAGGGAAAGAGCGTAAGAAGCAGAAGAAACAGAAGAAAACCGAAAGCAAGCAGGAGAGTCCTCGAGCGAAGAAGATCTGAACCAAAAGAAGAGGAAATCTAGAAACGACAGTCTGACGAATAGGAGACCAAAGAAGAAGCGGAAGGAGGAGAACAAGTAGAAGAGGCAGAGAAAACCCGAGGCGAAGCTTCTTAGAGGGAAACAACTTCGTCTTGGAAATCAAGATACGCATCTAACACAATATCTCCCCAGAATTCTTCTGAGATATTTTCTTTCTTTGCAAGGAGTATCCGCCGAGGAATCGCCTGGAGGCTAAGGCGATCAATGCATGTGATTTGTCCAAACAATATTCCAAGTAACTGGTTCGGCATCTTGGCTCTCGGCACGATAAGGGCAATAGCTTCAAGGACAGCAGGGCAATTTGTCAAAGCTATGCCTGCATCAACTTGCACAGATAGGCAATCGTTCGATCGATATAAGTCGTGAACTGGATCCTTTAGGTGTTCTCGGAAAGCAGCAGGGAGAAGTTCTTCGGCGATAATAGTCCGATGGGCGCCCGTGTCGAATATCATTTCCATCTCTTTAAGCTCACAGACAGGGTCGAACGCGTTGCCATCCAACGCTCGTAAAGTAAGGTTTCCGCGAATGATAGGGAGGCATTTATCTTGTAGTGTTGGCCAGAGTGACACGTACGGATCTGGGAATCCCGTGTCAGCAGCCGCCTCTTTAGCAATCTTACGGAGACGCTCGCGAGTCGCTTCATTCCGAGGCGGGCGGGGTTCCACCGTCCCTAGATCAACACTTGTTCGAATGGGGAGACCTAAGACATTTGCCGAGCGCAATCCCGACGCTGCCTGCTCCGAGCGCAATTCCGATGCTGCCTGTAGCGCCATCTCCCGAATTGCTCGGCGGTTGCCAGTTCCCCGGGGCATTAAAAGAAAGTCCTCATCAACATCGCCGAGGGCTGCTTCGACAGCTTGGATAGCAGACCTCCAGGTGGTGTGCACGGGGAGAGTGACAGAAAGTTTGTTGTGTTTGCAATTCATCGAGTCAGCAAGCTGGCGAAGCACATCTCTCGGATGTAGGGTTCTGATTTCGGGAGTGTCCATAGTCAACCTAAGAGATAGGATTCGTTAGTCCTCCATAATATTATAGAGGATTAATTACTACTTACTGTCGTTGTTTATCAGCTTCCGAGTCGCTCTGAGTCGGTGGTTGTTCAATGTAGTCGTTCAGAAGGCGAAGACGTTTCGGGTTAACAGTTGCTAGCGCTGGACTGTATCCAGAATGGGGGCGTTTAGTACTGGCCATGATAAGACGGGATTAGCGATCGTGTTCCAAGGGTAGAAGATGGAAAGGCTACATACCTTACGTCGGGATGAATATACTCGTTTCCTACCCTTTAAAAGCAGAAGTCACGCCTTTTGAGTGCCGACAAGGTAGGAGTGGAATTTATGACAAGATAGTGACGACAAGGGAGTGACGGAAAAAAAGACCTTACAACCTTGTAGTTCTCGGTTAGCAAGGCGCTGCAAAAATGAGAGAAGCTGATGCATAACCAATTCGCATTCTAAAGAGGAGTAGTATAAGAGAGAAACTATCTACTGGACTGGAGACTTTTAACGACAACGAGTGCTCCTCCGCATGCGGGGTGGGGGGCCATCCGACTTATGGTTTTGGTTTTTGACCAATAGGGATAACGTATGTCTCATACGAATGGGCCACCCCAAAACACCATAGTAAATGCGATAAATTACAACTTGATATCTCAACGACAGTATTATATATGGAAATTTCCTAATGGCTTAATGCTTTTTAGGTGATATCTAGCCTCTCTAAGGACTTTGAAAAATCTTTACGACTTTATAATTATGAGACATATATATATCTGTCATTGAGCAACGTAATTTTCAGTACCATGATAATGCAGCGTTTCGATTTTCTTGAAACTGATATATAGTGTCTGGAAGTCTTGTCGATAGCTATCGAATGACAATGAAACCAAACAACGACGTGGTCGCTGAGATATAAGGTTCTAAGATATCGCATTTACTATAGTGTTTTGGGGTGGCCCACTCGTTTGGTGGCCTATTCGTATAAGAAATACGTTAGAGAGTGGGTAGGGGGTTTAGTCAGATGAAACCAAGTCGACCTTAAGAGGTCGAATTATATATATAATGATGCTAGGTCATGGTGAAAATTTCTACCCAACCCGCAAACGCCTGCTAAACCGT